TCACGAGCATCAGAGACAATGACTCCCATTGGATGCCTATGTTACTCGGATTTTCCTGGGCCGCATTAATCCTAAGGCACAGAAGCAGGTGGCAGAGGTACATAACACATACAAGATCTGTTGGAAAAGTATCAGAAGGGTAAACGCATGGAAACGATAGTATTTTTGGTCTGATGATAGTAAGAGGGAAAAAATGATCACTGCAATAACGGACTCACTAGTCATGATTGGTGTACTCTACACGACTTGTTCAGAGATTATTAAATAGATGGTAGGGCAGTTTGGGTTCAGCCTGAAGGTTTACATATTAGATGGCTGTACAATCGGGCGTAAGGGACATACGCCATGGTATGTAATGTTACCTCGGTTTAACTAAGGTAAGGTACCTACGGTAGGTGCCTTATCTGCTGTTCTTGAGTAGTAATTAATTGATTGCCAATTATTATGGTTACTTCTAACAGTTTCTGCTTTTATTTTGTGCTATAAAGCTATCCCTTTCAATTGTTCATAGTGCCTATACTCTATTGACTGAATCTCTTCCTCCTTTATGTTTCTATTTTGGTCCATTTCTTTTGTCAGCGTCAAAGTGGCTTTGACGCCTTGGAACAATGTGTATGAGGTAAAACCTAAGGTACCTTAAGGTATCTGTAATGTGCATGGATACGCTGAATAATTACGGATGACGGAACTGCTTGTCTGGACAACGCTACGGACGCTATCTTAGGCCATGGCCATGCCCACTTGTGGCCCCCACCACAACCAGGGATCACTGGGTGACAAGAATGGATCCACCATTTGCTCCAAATCCTCCAGTTACAATCATTTATCCGTCCATCGATTCTTGATGGATCATTCTGTTCGTCATCTCATTTGATTCATAGGTATTATTATAGACTGCAGAGTGTCTAGTAAGGTAGTAATTGAGTAGAGAAGATAGTCTACGTTCTTCATTCCGTTCTTCCAGTCTCCTGACAGAGGAGGGCAGTTTCCCGTAAGCCGAGGAGAGAATACGAAGCGGAGTACAGGATAGGTAGGTGCAGTATGGCCATGGACCGGAGACAATTTGACTTCCATCAATCACTCTCGGTAAAGTAATACAGACGCAGTTCGAGGAGGGGAAATCAAGCAGAGAAACTTTATTAAATGAGGCAATATTACCTGAAGAATTCATGCGTGATTCTGTCTTTGTGGTGTACCTTAAGGTTACTAGGTGAGACAAGCAGAGATCATTATTGTATCGAGTTACCGATCCAAGTGGAAGTCAGTCCAGGCTCTCTGGTCACTATGAGAAACCAGGAAATCCTCTAATGATTGATTCTGGAGATCGAGAAGTCAAGCAGTTACATCACTTCTGCTGCTGACAATGAACTCCTGACCTCCGTGTGATTCCCGATTCTTCCTAGTTGAATACCAAAGGGTACCGCGATCAGCGTCGAAGGGCTGGTTCAGCTTGATGGCACCCCGTAGATCACCCGTCCAGACCAACGGCGAGTCTCGATCTTTACTCTCTCACTTTCTCCCTGTTCCTCGCTCCTCTGTATTACTTGATACTACGGATTATTACTACTACCCGCGCGACATCACTTCCCCACAAGTCCAGGATAAGGTAATGGAATGCAAGGGAACTCCGAGTATGTACTTTGGGAGCGTGCTTCGACAGCCACAAAAATGTACATCTTGTTTCCCACTCAAGTTCTGCGACTGCCAACAAATATGCAATTGGACGACAACGAAAATGCACATACATAAGGCAATGTAGCGTGTATCAACCATATTAGAAATAATGATGATGTGCAATGATCCGATCCCCAATAACCGGCCGGGATCTAACCGAAACAGACACAACCTGATGGTTGCTCTGCACTAGCAATTCCATTGGCTGGGAGGTGTTCCTTGACTTCCTGGTCGTTCTGCTTCTCCTTGTGATCACTACCGTCCACAACCTTATGGCGGAACAGCAACAGCTTCTGAGGTTGCGGACGTTGAGTACGAATGTAGATTATTATCTACCGTACAAAGAATGTACTTAGGGTAGATTGAAGCGATCCACGATCGTTGGACGGGACCGCCCTGTTAATTCGTATGGGTGTATCTACCATCCTTACAATGAAGCGTTTGAGGCGCACAATATCGGCTGTGAGATGGATTTCTTGCTTGACGCTGGTAACCAAATTCCGCAGCTGCATTTCTGATACCACTAGGTTCAACCTACCTGTTGGAATGACTGTGACAGCGAATCGGACACCCAGAGGGGAAAAGGCAGTGGAAGTTGGAAGTGAGCTTAGTCATCGGTGCCTGGCACCTGGTGGTCATGTAACAGCAGAACACGCAGCGTGACGGGAATTAGATGCGCTGTACTCCGTACAGAGTAGGGCCTGTCTACCACAGGGTCCTCTGTCTATTTCAATTTTTTTAATTTTTTTTGCGCCAGTCAAGGAGGTTGGAAATTGTAATACCGATTAGACTACTCCGTACTCCTCCAAAATCTATCGGCAGGGAATGAGCTAGGGCCCCGAATCAGGTTTCTCGATGACAGTCTCAGCGATCGCCTTACAAGGAGTAACTCTGGCCATACATAGTCCAAAACTTGTCACATCTTTAGCATGCTTTCTCCAGTATGCCGTATCCTACGTAGCATAACAGACAGCGTTGCTCTTCGTATTATTCGGTTGCGAGACGGTCGTCCACGTTGTTTCTCGACCTCAACTTCCGCAGTCACTTAGTTGGCTAGCGGAAAAAGCGCTCAAGGAAGGAGAGGAAGTGACTCAGGAATGGAAGAGGCCCGGGTTAGACAGCTCAGCTCAGTTTCGTCACTGGGATATACTGAACTGTACGGTTGGACGTAATCTCCTCGTACATAGAGGGGTAGGCTATGTGATTCACATAGTAAATCACAGGGGAATTTACCGGAGTCCGTGGACAATTTAGAGCACGTAGTGCAACCATGAATATGGTATGTACCGACCACAAGCAGGCCCTCGCCAGGTTTATCGCTGAATTGCAGGAGAACGTCTGCTTTTCAATACGTAAGGTAGTTTGTATTATGTACCGCGACTGGTTGGTTAATTTGGTCATCTCATGTAGGTAGTCTACCTACAGTCTACACCCTCAATAAGTGAGGTTATCTCTCGCTTCCAGAACTGAAGAGATGGCTGGCTGGAAGGTCGATCATTGGTGGGTCCTACAAGAATCAGGCACTCTGAGCAAAGTCGACACATCAAAGATTGTTCCAGTAAAAAAGCACCTCTCTACCTCTTGAATCTACTAGTGGAGACAATAAACTTCCATCACAAGTGCTGAATCTCATAGCACCTAGAGCCATGACTTCGACGTCTATAAAGGGAGAGCTAACATATCTATAGTGAGATAATTTTTCGTACGCTACTCTACCTCTTCTGGTTGATAGAAGACGACCGGAGTACCAGGAGTAAGAACCCCCTATGCTTGGAAGTAGGTCCACATTTTGTACTCACTCCTGATTCAGGAAATTCCTTATTCAAAGGTTCTGGAAACGAAGTGGCCCTGTGGTCTCCATATCAGCGTATTCCGACTTCTCCCATGAATGAACTATTTAGTTGCCCCTTTACCCCTGTTTCAACTAATTCAATTCTCTTGTGCTATCTAATTAACACATTGAAGGATTCTCTGCTAGTCCCCTAGAAGTTCAACATCCGAAGTTCCTTCTAAAATTAACCATCACTTCGTTGTACTTTCTAAACCATGGCTGGGCCTGATCTGCAAGATTTCAAGACACCCAAGCCTCAGTGCTGAATGCGCCTCAGTATTCTACCTATCCTCGCTTGGGAATACCGTACTACCTTAGTAGCGCGTCCATTAATTACGCCCAACTAAGAACCGTAAGAAACATGGTCTAATAAGCCACTAAGGCGAGACATCTCGGTCCCTAGTTGGTAGATATCAGGCAACTGAGAATGGCGCAGCCGCGCTACGCTCCAACTGCTACTGCGAGGTACAGAGTTCGTGTTCCGCAGTTTCGAGCTCTACCGAACAGAACAACTATCACGATGTCAGTCCAGATCTTAAAATGGTGTTGCTGCTATTGCATCATTATGAATGGGCTCTGAGTGGTAACGATCCTTACCTACCTTACATGGCAAACTCCACTGCTACAGGGTAAGGTAGGTACCGTAGTGGCCGGGTAAGATGTACCCACGTAAGGTACCTAGGTAGCTTACTTCGCTCTGAAATACCATTGTATACAAGGGCTACTAGATACAACCCATCTAACGGGCAAAATTCCTTTTAACAGTCCAGGTAGGTAGGTAGGCAAGGTGCTCCGTAGGCGGCTGGGCTATAAGTACTACTACAGACCATCGCCCAGGTAACGAGCCGCAAGGCCATTTTCCAGAGTACCCAGTTTGGCATGTTCACTCCAAGGCGGTTCTCGTCCTCCCCGCAAGCCCAACTGCAACAGTCAGAGCTCAAAGCGTTCGAGCGAATCATTTTTCAAATGGCTCTCACCGTCACTGAGAAATGGTTTTGAGCTGTGCGAGTTGGTCGCACAGGCAAGTCAGTGCATGCAGCAGTGTATGGTCATGGTGTACAGGGTGCTACAAGCACTGCGTGCATTATCACCACCTGGATAGCGATCGCGTTATCTGCGGACTCTGTCATACATGGAGGTAGGTACGCAGTACGCCTGGAGCTCTGAGAATGTTTGGTGGCACAGGTCGAAAACTGAAAATAAGGGACGGAGCCAATCGCAACAGAGTTCTCAAGGCGATTTCAAATACTCTACGCTACCTAGCTCTTGAAACGAGAACGCTTTCAGAAGCATGCTTGTGCGACGTCGATAGTGCTAGCTTAGGCTAACATACGCCGAGACCTGAACTAAAAAGAATTCATCCAATTTAGACCTTCAAGACGAATCATGCTCAACAATATGCTAATATAACAGACATGGATATCAGTACAGTAGGGCCGGGCCCTGTAGGATTTTGTATATCATTTTCACATACTCGGGTCGCCTAGCTCAACCTTTAACCGGTGACCTTGAAGATGGCCTCGGCCAGTCTCTTGACGTTGCCCGAGGTGATACCGGCGACCGAGATACGACCGTCCTTGGTAGCATAAACGGAGTGCTAAGGTCATGTCAGTGAGCTGGGTCAAATTTGCGATACCATGGATGCTTACCTCCTTGGCCAGAACTTCCATCTGCTCGGGCTTCAGGCCAGTGTAGGCGAACATGCCAATCTATCACAAATCAGCATTGATTCATTCTTGCGAACATAAAGAACAGCTTTCTCACCTGGCTGGTGATGTGCGACCAGTCGTGCTTGCTGCCAAGGTCCTCCAGGTTCTTCTTGAGGAGAGCACGCATCTCAATGATGCGGTCGGCCATGCCCTTGACCTCGCCCAGCCACTGCTGGTTGAGCTCGGAGTCATTCATAATGGTAGAGGCAATGCGGGCACCGTGGACGGGAGGGTTGGAGTAGAAGGGACGGATGAGGATCTTGATCTGCGAGTCGACACGCTTCTTCTCCTCGGCAGATTCACAGACGAGAGAGAAAGCGCCAACACGTTCGCCGTAGAGACCCTGGTAGTTCAACATGGTCAGTCCCTGGATTGTTTTCATGAGGTCGAGCAGCCCGAGCTTACCATGTTCTTGGCGAAACTCTGGCACAGGGCAATGTTGTGACCCTCCTTGACGAAATGTCTAGGGGCGAAAGCATCACGGTCCGCGTTACCACTGGCAAAGCCCTGGTAGGCCATATCGAAGAAAGCAAAGTGACCCTTCTCCTTCATGACATCGCTAATCTGACGCCACTGATCCTGGGTGGGATCAACACCGGTGGGGTTGTGAGCGCAGGCGTGCAGCAGAATGATGCTGTTGTTGGGAGCGGCCTTGATGTCAGCGATGAGGCCCTCGAAGTCAAGGCCAATAGTGTCCTTGTTGTAGTAACGGTAGGACGCAACCTCCAGTCCCGAGTCCTTGAAGACGGCGGCATGGTTGGCCCAGCTGGGAGTGGGAAGGTAGATCTTCTTAGCGTGAGGGTAGAAGCGCTGCAGGAAAGCACCTCCGATTCTCAGAGCACCGGTACCGGAAATGGTTTGAGTGATGACGAGACGGTCCTCCTTGATGACGGCGGAGTCGCTGCCATAGGCCAGCTCCGCAGCAGCCTTGGTGAAGGAAGGAATACCAGTGATACCGGCGTATTCTTTGTCGAGACGCGACGCAACGACCTTGTCTTCGGCAGCGCGAACCGAGGGCAGAACATATGGCTTGCCCTTGTCATCACCTATTCATTCCAAATATAGAAAATCAGTCGTTGCACGCAATTGGCGTCAATTAAGCGATTCAAGACTCGAATAGTACGTACGGTAAGCACCAACACCAAGGTTGATCTTCTCCTTGAAGGTATCGGCCTTGAATGCCTCGGTGATACCAAGGATAGCGTCCTGGAATCATCCCATTACGTTAACAACGACCCACAGAGCGACTTTCCGGACAATAGAGTGTATTACCGGAGGACCCTGAGGGACATTGGACCAGGCAGAGGCATGTCTAGCACCGACGACCACGGTGCGCATGCTCGCCTCACGCGAAGCAGCCTGGCGGCTGGCGACTCTGAGAGTGGACAGCATTGCGGTGTCAAGGGCGCTAATTCGGAAATCTAAGATGTAGAACTAGAAGCTCAAGAGGTCCTCGAGGGGGGAGTAGTGGAAGAATCAAGGAGAGAAGCAGGGGAGAAGGAGAAAGGTCAAAAAGGACACCGATTGGAGATCAGTTCTAATAAGAGTCAAGAGCAGCAGATCCCAGTCGGAGATACAGCGGGTGAGTTTGTGTATTTTTTTGACTCGTGAATAACCATAGGGAAATTCCGAGGAGAAAAGCGGCCGATTCGGATTGGTCACTTTCTCCGCATCGCGGTTAAATTGGGTCCTGCTTGAGGTACCTTACTTTGTTACCTAGGTCTCTGGTACTGGTACCTCCTGTTTAAGGGCATTGAGACTCCTAACCATGACTACGAAGAGGTATAAACACAATGGCCCAACTATTTTCATGGAAATGTCTGATCCTCAAGTATTATTGTTGTCTGATCCGTCACTGTACCGGTGGTCACGTGACTATGTCAGCTGTCCTTGTTTCTAGACAAGGGACCGAATGCTCCGTGATATATATATATCAAAACAAAAACAGCAGTCGGGATTCTCTCTGGTCAGCAGAAGATCTCGTAGATTCTTCTTACGTGAGACCATGAATGAAGATGAAGCCTTGATGACACTAGCAAAATAACAAATTCTTGGCGTCGAATTGTCCATCTACTATTATCATAAGGCAATAAGGGTGGGTCCCGGCTTAATAATCGCTTAATAATCGCTTAATAATTGCTTAATAATCGCTGAATAATCAGTCGAAATTCAGTTGAAAAATTGCCTCTTTGGGTCTAGCCTTTATGCCTCTTATTTCAGGCCTTAATTTTGTATTCCCCTGCCACCTTTCTAAGGCCCCTAAAGGTCCTACCTCCTAAGATTTAGATATTGATACTAGATGATATTTTGATATTAGTACTAGATGATGATTTGATATCCCTACTAGATGATGCTTCAATATTGAATACTATGGCATTGATATCCATACTAGGCCATGATTCGATATCGAATACTATGGCATTGAATTGATATCCCTACTAGATGATGATTTGATATTGAATACTAAGGCATTGATATCCATACTAGGCCATGATTCGATATCGAATACTATGGCATTGAATTGATATCCCTACTAGGCCATGATTCAATATTAAATACTATGGCATCGAATCGATCTCCATACTAGATGATGATTCAATATCAAATACTATGGTATCGATATCCTTACTAGATGATGATTTGATATTGAATACTAGGTCATGATTTAATATTAATATATTACTAATTTACTATTTAATATTGGTGCAGTGCTGCGTGTGTGTAAGGTGAGGGCCGTAGGTCCGAACCTCAAGACGCAGCGAGCGGAGCGAGCGCTAGCCGGCTTGTAATAATAATGGTGAAATTCAATAATCATGGTGCCATCTCCTCACCTCAATTCCTGGTGCCCGCCCTCCGGTGAACTGATTGAGCATGTCGGCCCGCTGGCCAGAGCCTGAGGCACTGCTTGACTGGCTGGACCTGCCTGTGTTTCCCCTCACGAGAATTGGGGTAAATGGAGTTGCTAGACCGTAGAGAAGCTGCAAGTTACAAGTTACAACTGCTGTCTACTGATACTCTGGCTGCGGGTGGAATTATTTCCTTTTTCGGAACATACTTCATATTGCTCCTCTACAGCGTACGCAGGTCAAACCAGTCAATAGCTAGAAGAGCGGGGAGGACTACCGAGCTGCTGTCGATGGTCGGTTAAATTCCGCTCTCAAAGCCAAAATGTCAATCGGGATGTTGCACTACTCCTGAGCAGATCCAGATCTATCCAGATAGGGCTGATACCTGTAGAGCTATGTGATATTGCAAGCCCGTACATATTCAGGACCGTCTTCCCATGACAAACGTAGTACACCAACTTTCTTAAACACCTTAAAAGATATTGAATTAGTGAACAGTATTTTCAGAACCGAGCAAATCGTGGCGTACGAGGAATCATCTGGTCCTATGAGCTTCATGGTATATTCAGGTGGCCTATCGATGCTAAACCCATACATCATCATTAAGAATTGCATATGATACGAGAAAGCGGGCGAGTATTCTAGAACTCATCCCAACCTCACACCAGCTTGACGGTTTTTCCGAGCCGTGGCCCCCATAGCATTGTTCATGCCAGTGTGTTGGCTGCTATCCAAAGTGCTCATGGCTTCGCGCTTCTTCTCCTCTTCAATCTTCTTCAACCGTTTCTCAGTCTTCATCCTGCCGCTGCCCTTGCCGTGGAACTGGTGACTAAGATGCTTGAAAGCTTCCTTTTGGTTCATCAAGCGACCAAATTCGTCAACGTACTTGAGCTGTACGTCGGGCTTGTATTCCCGGTTGAAGACTTCCGCCATGTGCCGTGCATCTTGCTGGTCACGTTGCTTGTTCTCCCACCGCGCGTATTCTTCACGCTCGCGGGCCGACAGCCGATCGAGTTTACCGGAGGCTCGGTCGCGTTCACGCTGTTGCCGAGCTCGTTTCTCGGCCTCCGTTTCAAGGTGAGTCTTCTCGTGCAGGAAACGCTGACGAGCCCGCAGGAGCGCGTTGTGCTCAACAGCATCGGAGGCTTTGACCAGTCCGCGTTGCTTGAGCATATTCAATGTGGCACCAAGCCCTTGATCCAATGTAGTTTCTTCCTCCAGTCCAGTTCCGGAGATTTGCTGGAGCTGAGATTCTTCCCTCTTGATGCGTTCCTTGAGGTCTTCTTCATCTTCAACTTCATTGTACGAACGCTCCATATCCACGTCAGCGTCCTCGTCGGCCGGTTCTTCCTTGATACTCTCGGTCATTTCTTCCTTGACACTCTCGGCAGGTGTCGTTGTTCGTCGTCTCTCGCGGCGCTCTGGAAGGGTCGGCTTCTGGAGATTGGAAACAAATTCTGATGTCTCATCTATGACCAAGCCAGGCTCTTCAGTGTCTTCATTCTCTGCCTCCATTGGCGTTTGCGACTCCTCTCTGAGCTGTCGTGCGATATCCTCGGGTCGCACTTTCTGCCGCTTTTTGAACGCGGCCCTTCTCTGGCGTGTAAGAGAGGCTTGTAGATCGTCATCGTCGACAAAAGATACGTTCTCACTGCTCTCCCATTTTCGAGGAGCTGGCGCGGGCACTCCGTTGCTGGCATCGACTTCCATAGCCCCGTTCTGCGTCGACTCAGTTGTAGGAAATATATCATCTTCGTCAATCACTCTCTGTCTGGTTGCCTTGGCCTTCTTTTTCTTCGGCTTCTTGATTTTAATCTCGCTCACATCCATGTAATCAGAAACTGGAGTCGTCTCAATTGCACCAAGGTCGAGGCTGACAAGATTCTGCTTGAGCCTGTCAGATACCTCTTGTCGCTTAGCCTCTCGTTCTTCAACTGTAGACCCTTGAGTGTCAAGAGTGAAGCGTTTCCGCTTCTTGCCTTCAATCTCTTCGTCATATTGCGCGAGTATGCCGGTATTCTCTTCGGTGGGATCGTAGACAGGTTTCCGCTTTTTCAATTCCAGCCTTTCCGCCACCTTCTCCTTTTCTCTCAGGCTGACGTCCTCCAGCTCATCGCCATCCTCCTCGTTCTCATCTATAGTCGTATCTTTGAGCGTAAGAACATGTTCCTCTCCTTCTTCGAACTCGCCAACCTCATGCCCAACTTTTAGCCCAGCCAGATCCGCCGTGGAGTATTCCGCGGCACGTTCACGTTCCTCTAGTTCTCGAGCGAGTTTGAGGGCGCGTTCCTTTTCAATCTTCTTCTGTCGCTTCTTCGCCTGCAGCAACCAGGCCTTCGTGTCCATATCCACACCGCCAGACTCTCCTAGCGTAGGGCCTTCGAGCATCCGATCGCGCTGAGCAGCATCACGAGCCTTCTTGATCGCAGCATTTTTAGCCTCTCGTCTCCTCTTCGCCTCAGTCTCCTCTTGAAGTTTCTTCCAGTTCTCCGAGGCAAGTGCTTGTCGCGATTCGAGAGTGCTTCCAAGATCTTCTTCGGATGCAGAGCCCTCTCTTGTTTCTTTAAACACCGGACCGGAGGTGGCGTCAGCACCAGGGACGGGGAGGGGTTTGAGCCCAAGGGCGACTCGGATTTTGTTGTTCTGCTCAATGGAAAGAGCGTCCGCCATCTTGGGCGGTTTAAAAATCAAGTTGTATCAGACTCGGCCAGGAAGTGTGTTGGTGATGTCAGGTTTCGCAGACTGGCATGGATGGTCGGCTTGACAGTTGATAGATTGCCTCCGACCTCCAACCGCAGGCCTTGAGTTCCATTGATATTACATAATCACGCCCAGTCTCGGTAAGGCTTAGCGCAACAGAATCTTAGCGCGCACTTGGCGGCAACATAAAAAGCCAGGATTTTTTTTTCAAGACATCTCTTCTCTTCTTTTTTTCCTCACCAATTGAACATACACGGATCTGTGTCCAGCGATCCTGAGCATGGAGCTGTTCCTCTTCACGGAGGGGCTGCCTCTGTGTCTCGGTTGATTGCTGGACAGTTCGACGACTTAAGGAGCCATCCCCTCGTGGATGGTTTTTATTTTCCGGTCGACAGATCTCAGATCGAATGCTGGCACTAGGTATCACTGGTCTTGAGCTCCCGAATAGGTGAGCTCGGCTGGAGGGCCTAGTAGCTAGCGGCGTCATATTCCTGATCCCTTTACCGATTTGGCCGTCGGCTTGTGAGGTTAGGGAAAAACCATGACTAGCCAACATACCTTTCCCTATTTTTATTTATTGCGCAATATTATTTTGTAGGATTAGTGTAGATTGAATGAGCTACAAGCGATGGTCTCGTAGATATGTACGAACCTGGCATCGCCTGGATTCGTGTATCGCGACATACTCTGCCCATTTCAGGGAAACTCGCTGGTTGAAGCATTCGCGCATTCTATATTCACATACATTCGTCCCATTATCGCCATCTGCATTTACAGCAGCTTTAGATGCCCCGTTACTTGATCCACCACACTCTTTGGCCCCAAAACTCCAAGTACCGTCCTGCT